CTTTTTGTCAGATTGTTCTAGCATTGCTGAGTCTGCTCCCTTGGTTTTCGGCCAAGACTTAACACTGACAGCTGTTATTTAACGACAAGCCTCACATTCACAATCTCCGCGCTGTTGATTGTCATTGTCAGTTTTCTGGAGAATGATTTTGTTTCTGTCCTCCATTGATCATTTCAACTTGTTCCTGTTTGGGTCTGTTTGCTATTTGCAAGCCAGAATGATATATTAAAACTTTCATCAACATTTCCATTTTTTGTGTTTTTTATTTTGTCTCATGAGATGAGGTGTTTGGGGGAGCGGCCTCTTCTCTTCTCCCAAGACCATAGGCTCGGGTGCGATTAAGTTAAGTTGAGGAATGGTCTCATGTTTTGTACACACACATATGTGAGACAGCGTGGTGGAATCAGGCTCTCGTCAATTTTTGGGCATGTAGAGTTATTGGTACTACTTAAAGCTTGTTCACTTGTCTTTATTTGGATGAAAAAAATATCCGTTTATCTTGAATACAAGTCGAGATATTTGCGAAAGAATAAGAAAGAGGTGGGGGTCACCTGTTTTCAGAGGTAAAATTAGTGAGAAAATGGCCGCCAAAGATTTGTTATTTCCTTAGCTTAAGAGTCCGTGGTAAATGAAAATTTACATTTTTTGTGCCTTTAATCAACGTTTTTCAGAAAAATCCTAACAGAAATGAACTCTTTAATGGGCATGAAAGGTGTTGAGCAAAAAAACAACAAAAATTTGATAAAATTCACAAACCAAAAGAAAAAAGCAAGTTTTTTCACTTTGATTATTTTGACGAGAGCCTGATTCCACCACGCTGCCTCACATATCTGTGAAGTAGACTGGACTATTCTCGGCTCTCCTGTACTAATAATATTCTCTTGTACTCCTGCTCTCCTACCCTCCTGTTCGTGGGTGGTTGGCCGGTGCTCTGGTGTGGTTTGCTTCTTCTTTCCTATCGAACATCTATCGTTCTTATCTCGCCTTCTTCTTTTTTATATCTGTTACTCTCTTGGAACACCTCTAATCTTCTGGCGCTCATATGACCTTATGTGGGTGGTTGGCGGGTGCTCTGGTGTGGTTTGCTCTTTCTTTCCCATCAAACATCTATCGACCTTATCAGAATCTCACCTTCGTCTTTATTATGTTTGTTACTGTCTTGGAACCCCTCTAATCTTCTGGCGCTCATAATCGTATTATGACCTTATGCAGTTGTGAGCGCCGTAAAACCTTTACTAAAACAAGCTACCCTCCTGTTCTCCTGCTTTCCTGTACTCTTGCTCTCCTGTGCTCTTGCTCTCCCCCCCACCAAAAAATGAACTGTCAAACTATGTCTGGTTTACAGAATAGTTCAGCCATGTTAATGCTGTTCTTCTATAAATAATGATAGTCTTTTTCAAATACCAATAATAGTTGTAAAGCGCATAGAGTAAGCTCTTGAGCATGGATATGCGCTATATAAATGCAATTATTATTATTATTATCATTATGCCATAGCAGCTCCTCCCTCCTCTCCAGAATCCATGAAAGGGTCTGCCTGCTGATCGTGCCAGTCAACAGCTTGTTGGATCATTATTCTTCAAGCTTTTCCACGCAGGTTGCTGTCTCTCCCCGATTCGAGAGCAGATTCGAGTAGGCCTACCTCATACTGGGTGCCCACAACTGATGGGGTCAGCCGATCTGGCCGATCGCCCTACTTGGTCACCTCAAAAACAAATGTGAGGCAGCGTGGTGGAATCAGGCTCTCGTCAATTTTGGGGCATGTAGAGTTATAGGTATCATCTTAAAGCTTGTTCACTTGTCTTTATTTGGATGAAAAAAATATCCATTTTCTTGAATACAAGTCGAGATATTTGCGAAAGAAAGAGGTGGGGGGTCACCTGTTTTCAGAGGTAGAATTAGTGAGAAAATGACCTCCAAAGATTAGTTATTTCCTTAGCTTGAGAGTCCGTGGTAACTGAATATTTACAATTTGTGCCTTTAATCAACTTTTTTTTCCAGAAAAATCTACACAGAAATGAGTTCTTTAATGGGCATGAAAGGTGTTGAGCCAAAAATCAAAATTTGATAAAAATTCAC